AGGCCATTTATTACATCTGAATAATGTGTATTCATCACGATGTTTTGTGGCATTGTAGAAATTAGGTCGGAGCAAACTTCCCTCTGAACTTTTATTAGCTTAAATCAGGCTGATTCTGCTGAAGTGAGTGATGTTTTGCTGGTGCAAACCCACAGTGACTGGGAGATACCTTCAAGGACCACTTTGCTTTATTATCCCATCTGTGAAAAACAGTGTGCTGTCTCCTCTGGAAACTGAAAGAAGGTTACACTAGCATATTCCTTTAACTTTTTTAAAACAAAAGAACATTTTGGTTTTTCCCCCAGTGGAAAGTTATCTTTTTTACACGGTTTAAGCAGGATAATATTTTTACTGTAATTTCAAGAAAAGTCAGCGAGGCTATCAAGGGTGCTGTACCCTTTTGTTTCTTAGTTAGGTGCCATGCATATGTCTATGGAGTATAATGAAGAAGATCTGGGATATTCAGATGTGCAGCTCTACAGTAAGTAGTCCAGTTGCCTGGCGCAGAACAGTTAAGTTTTCCATATTAGTCTATTACGGCTTTCAGGATCAACTTTAGAATTAGCTGATAATTTTTTTTCCTTTCTGTCAGGAAATTTTCAAAACTCCTAATCTTCGCTATGAAGATTATTATTATGTTCATTATTACCTTTGTTATGAACTGTCCAGCTCATGCTTTGGAGAGACTTATTGTAGGGTTCAAGAATTGGCTTAACAGTTCTGTGTTGGTAGTAAATACTCCAGTCATTCTGCTTTCTAGTTAAGAAATAACTCAAGCTGCTTCTCACTGTTGCAATGTATGTGTTGTAATGTTTTAATAATAATTGGTTCGTCAGGATAGGTAGTGTGGGACAAGGTCTTCAAAATAAAAACGAGTGAAATTGTACAGTAGGAGGGTAAACTTAACTATATAATCTTACAAGAATTTATTTTCTTATTGTGACTCACTTTTATTTCCCCATTTAAAAACAGCTACTCCTGCTTTTTTTAATTTACAATATATAGTTTTAAATAATGTGTGTAATTGCAGAAAGTACAGTCCACTCTTCTTTGTGGGTTTTCCCCCCCGCCCCCTCCCCTCCTAAACTAGTATTTTGGCATACTGGGAACAGAAATACCCTTAGTTCTGATATGGGCAGAATAACTAATGTGGTGGCCTTTCAGTTTAGGTCCAAGCGTAAATACTCCATTTTCCAGTCTAGCAAGAGCTTATTAGTGCTACACACAGACAGAAGAAACTTCACTGTGTAATCTCATTGATGTAGAAAACACTTATGCTGAAAGAAGGCAAGCAAGAATACTATTTGAAGTCAGTCCCATTAAACGTCTGAGATGACAAGAACCAGAATGTCCATGGTTTGTTGTATTCCTTCTACATAGTTCATACTCATCGAACATATAAACGCAGGTATATCAACTGTGTGGTTAAACATAAATAGAATGCCTTTACTTCAAATAAACTAGCAAAATGAACGTATTATATGGCGCTTTTTTTTTTTTCTTCCTAATTTTTATTTTGAATTGCTCTGGAAGTATGTTCCATTCATGAAGTTGGGCCTTTTGACAGCTAATACCCCCACCTAGAGACCTAGAGAACTCAGAGACTGAGGTATTGCCCTTACTGGGAACACTACTGCATCAGTATCTTGATGATGATGTGTTATGTGTACATATATATATATATACGTATAAAATTCCGTGTGTGTGTGTATATATATGTATATATAAATATGACATACAAAATTTGATGTGAGACCTCTGCAAGATACAAACTCTTTGCAGCACCAGTTCCAAACCTCACTTTCTGAGAGAAGTAGTATCCTGTCTGACCAAGAGGTCTCATACAGACACACAGTCTTTATGGCAACCACTTTCCTTTTTTACTGCTCCAAATGTAGGGATGCCAATGTAAACATACAGAAAGAAGAGAAACTTATAAAGCTCTCTGTCTGTATATTTGTTTGAACTGTCCTGTGAAGATACACAGCTAAACCCATCACAGATTGTAATTAATGGATCTGTGATTTATTAAAGACCTTAACTGTAACCTACCAGCAATTGTTCTGGCAGAACTGCAAGTTCCAGAAACCCTGATCCCAAGCATTTAGTTGCCTAGCATAATAAAATATTTCCTTAGCAACTCTCAAGCTTGTTACAGTCTTAGGCTGCCTTAGGTAGTGCTGGAAATCTTCAGTGGTACATAGAAACTGATTTCCAAATTTCCTTTCACAAGGGATGTTACCCTTTTGTCTTAGGTTTTTTTTTTTTTGGTGTAGCAGTGGCTGAAAGCACTGATTTTGTCATTTTGTCTACAAGAAAGCAGATTGGTGAATGTAAAGTGAAAAAAAGAAGAAGTTTCATAAATGAAGTTTAGGTGGGGTTTTTTTTTGTTTTTTTTTTTTCTTATGTTTTCTGCACTGTTGTTTATAAAGATGTACATGTAGGAACATTGGAAATCCTCCCCACTCCTGCATTTAATGTCTGTTTTCCCTGGCTTTGAAGACCTAGTAATTTACCAGTTACAGAATATTAGTTTCCTTCCTCTGAGGGTATTTTCCTGTAGTTTGCATTGTTTTTTCTTTCATCTGTTGCAGCACATAATCTCTCTCATCCTGAAGCTTTGAGAATTTTTTTGCATCTTGTAGGAACTCCTCTCATGTTTCCGGGGGTAATCATTTGCCTTAAATATCTATAAGTTGCCTAAAGGCACATTCTGAATTTATTGAGACTTCCAGTGACAATTCTTTATTTCAGTAGAATGGCAATTAAAAGGGAGCATGATTATTTTTCAGTGTTCTCCTATTTACTCTGTTAACAAAGTCTTAAGTATCAAGAAAAAATAAATATTGCAAGGAACAATCTGTCATATTTCCCTGTAAACTTTGTATATATTTATATGTATATGTTTGTTTGTTTGAAAGGCTTAGCTTAAAGTAAGCCCAATGCCAACAGAATCAATACCTGTATTTATACCTACTATCTAGTGCTAGTCTAGTGCATAGAAATCTTTGGAAACCGTTACAGACACTGAAAGCATTTGGTGCTGGTCAGGATAGATCTCTCCAAGGCTGTTTGTCCCCAGAGCAGAGGAGTACAGAAAAGTGAAAGGAAAAGGATTTCCTTCTCCAAAAACGGTACCAGGATATAGGAACATTTCTGCAAGCAAATATATTCCTGCTGTGTTGTTAGGCTACCTCAAGAGAATTGGTTTTGCTTTCCCAGCATGGTAGCCATTGTTTCTCTGGTTGATTGTTTTCTACTTTTTGGCAGTATGGTTGTGTTCCTAGGCTGTAGTTACTGTCATACAGAGATTAAATCCTTTTATATTCTTGACTTTTGCAGAGCAGGGCAGAAACCTGTTCAGCTCTGCGCTGCATAACCTCCCTTATGCGGCAGCATTTCTAAGGGCCAATAATATAGCTACTGCTGAATAAACAGAAGGTGTACACTTGCCCCTACCTCTGAACTCAAGATATGAAAACCACATTCAGGATTAAGCATTTTGATATTTTTTCTCCAAGTACCTCTTTAGCACTTTTTAAATAAGTATCAGCAATTCTTACTCTGTGTCATTTAAGTCCCACTCTTTTAGATGTAATGTGTAAGTACAAAAATGAACACCTAGCCTGAATAAGAGACTTACATAGGAATGAAATTTTATTAGATAAAAAAAGGGGGGGTTTGGAGACTTAATACTGGTGCTGATTAGCAATTTCAAGATTTCATAGAGAATACTTAAGGGCTGAACTGTCATTTAGGTACATTTATGTACCAGTTTTTGAAAGGTTTGGTATTTGCATATTTGGACAGTTCATCTGCTCTGACTTACGCACCTATTAAGGCAGAGTGGTGGACTGTCTGAAAACAGGTGTCTCTCTGCTAATCAGAAAGGTGACTGCTTTCACCTTGACATGTAACCTCTAGGTTGTTTGTGCTAAACATGTTGAATACCACATTAATTGGTCTGCTTTGCCTGGGCTTGGCTGCAGTTAAAATTACAGAAATCATCTCACATCAAGTATTATTCTGTGGGGGTGGAATTTAGGAAATGTTTGTTAGGTGCGACTGTTGCAGCAGTCCTAGGGACATAGTAAGATCCCTTTTACTCAGATTGCTGGACTGTATCGCAAGTCTTATTTTTCATATTAAAAACTAGCTGGCTCTGAAAATCCTAGGCACACAATAAAAAGAAGCAAATATAATTAGAAACAAGAAGAATGGTAATATTCTTTCTGCATAAAACCCAACTCAGTAGTGGGTTCCTTTGAGGATTTTCTTTTCTTCTTTCTTGTTTTTTGTCCAAGAAAGGATTTTTTCACTATAGTGTATAACGGATGAATACTAGTTCACAACGTGGAAAACGGAAAGCACATCCAGATTATATAGTGGTTTATTTTCCTACTTGCAAATACTGACAGGTTGGCCACCTAGTGTGAATATTTCATCTATGTGCGTCAGAGGAGACAGAAAGTAAGTCCAGACTCAGGTTGTGAATGGGAAATCTTTTTTAGATTAGGTGCTATGTCATGGAAGCATTCCTGTCTTGTCTTGTCTTTGAACACATGAACATAAACAAAAGTGTCTTTAAAGCATATCAGTGTCGGCCACCCTGTGTTTTGAAAAGAAGGTACTTCAACGTGATGCTTTAACTTTCATTAAAATATTAGTATAACAGAACTGTGTATCTCTAGATATAATTGTTTATTGCTCAGTAATAAGAGAAAGATACTGGTAAAGCCTATTGAACTTACTGTTTTCCAAAATACTGGTTAGTATATAAACTACCTGGGTTTCTGTTGAAGTTAGGTTCTGACGGAAGGATCAGGTTTGAATGGTGCTGTTGATCTGTTCTGTTTTCTTTTTTTATTTTTATTTATTTTGTTTGTAGCTCAGCTATAAGGAGGGGCAGCAAGAACTCAAATATTCCTCAACTGATCTCAGGCCATATTTTAAACGAAGTATCATCTTAATTATGTGATGTTTTGTTGTGTATTTTCCAGAGTGGCAAAAGTAATGAAGGTTCCTGTGTATGAGACGCCAACGGGATGGAGATATTTTTCCAATCTGATGGACTCTGGACGTTGCTCGCTTTGTGGAGAGGAAAGCTTTGGCACTGGTAAATAATACATAATCAACAATTTCCACAGAATTTTAATGACAATTTTTGACTTTCCTGGGTGCCTTAAGTCAAAGCCAAAAGGATCAGCAAATTAACTGTCTTGTGTTGGAACAGTGAACTGTTAGTTGTTCGCACTTTGACAGTCTTCTTGCAAGTGGGGTCCAGTACCTCAAGGTATGAAAAATACGGAGGATGGACATTGAAAAGCCATAGGCAATCTTACCACTGTACAGATAGCTTTTGGAGGTGTCTGGCACTGTCTTTTGACTTGAACATAATCCAGAAAGGTCTCACTAGTTCCACTGTAATAGTCTTTTCACAGTCTGCAACAGCATTTGGAAGGATTTTGCCTGTATGGAAAAACCACATTGTTTTTCCTAAGGTGATGCAGTGTACAAAGTATGAGGATTGGTATGTCTAATGATATGTCTAATCAAACTCAGATAAAATAATCATTATGAGAAATTCAGTTACGGCATCTATGTTTCCCTAAGCATTTTTTTCTTACCTCTCTCAAGAACCAGTCAAACAATAGAATGTGGAATGAAAGACAGATTTGAGCTCTCATGAATTCAGTACTGACAGGAAGCATTAGAGCAAACAGTTAAAATATGTAGTCTGTTTATCTGCAGAAGTGTAGTCTTGTTTCATGAGAAAAACTGAATAAATTTCACAGTGTTTCTTTTTTTTATTTCCTGCATTTTGGCGCAGAAATTAGTTCTTCGTATTTCTTAGTAGGATTATATGACAAGTATTTTTGAATTGGCACTTATCAGAGTAACTTAAGCATTTGCCTGGTTAATACTTTATTTTGTATTTCGATGTGAGTTCCATGGAATTCTTTATTTTGGTGTAGAGTTCTTTCGCTATAGCTTTTCATAGAAAATAAGTTATCAAGCAGTGAAACCTGGTTATAAATTTCATTTTGCTTTGATTGAGTTAAGTATAGTATTAAGTTTGTTGGTTGAGGTCAATTAGAGCAGAATACTGTTTATTTTAAAATGAGGATACCTTTAAGCCACAGACATGCCCCTTTATGTGTTAGCCTGTCATTAACTGTAAGTGTCTGAATGGACTATGATGGAAGAACCAAAATTGTGTTAGATTTCTTCGGTTGTCTATCTGTAAAAAGTAAGAGAATTTAAATTAATAAGGAATGTTTATTTTCTTCCTGTTGTGAATGGGAACCACTGTCGCATGATTAGCATGCCTTGGCTTAATTGTGACTGGCACAGATTTGTATTGCCTTGAATGTATATTTTAAATACGTATTTTCAAAGGGTGCTCTGCAAGGTTATTGACTGAGTTCTAAGTTGGAGAGAGGGACAGGAACATCTTGTACCTTTCAGAAAGTACTGACATTTGTTGTGGCATCTTGTTAGACAGCATCTCCATTTGTCCATAAGAGGTCTGGAATAGGGAGTTTCTAACTCTAACTGCTTTTTGCTGCTTTTTCACCACGTCAGTTCTGTAACCCTTCCCTCTAAATATTGAAGCTCCTACTCATCTAAATGCAGATATTTCCATGAAACTTGGGTGGGTCTTGAGACATCAGTATGACCTCATTAGCCCCCAAATTATTTGGAAAAATCTCCTGCCTTTATCTTCATGATGAAGAAAGGGAAGTGTGGGTGTTGACTGGAAGGACCTTGTAAGAGGTTGATGGTGAGTTCCTGTTGGCTAGAGTACATCTGGGTGCCTTTGCCCACAGAGTGCAGCATCACCTGCTGCATGCAGTTTTATCTGTTGAGGTATATAAAACGAGGAGGGGTGGCCTCTCTTTGCCACTGGCTTAGGCCTGTTTCTGCTTGAGAAGAAGCAAGTGAGGCTCCTAGACCACCTTCCTCTGCTGATATGAGTACAACTCTTCTAGATCTGTCTCAGCTAGAAGGGAATAATCTTTGGCTGCTTAATAGAAGCCTTGTCTCCTTTGAGGAAACTTGCTTTTAATACTAATGGTTCAGTTATAAAAAAGACAAATATCAAATTTCATATGTAAAAATTCCAATGTACAGTGAAGAGGCATTTTCAGGTCTTGCTAAGCAGGCTGTCCCAAGCATTGCTGAACTTCAGCCCTGCAGATCAGGAATAAAGAGAGGTGGTTTCAGGGACTGATGTACTGAAACACTGAGGGCATTGTGGTCTGTGCTGGCCTAACTTTATTACCCTGAGTATCAATTGGGTAGCTGCTCGAGTTGGAAAAGAGGGACAAGTGTCTTTCAGAGGTAAAGGAAAGGCCTCTGGAGTTTGTCTGTTCTTCTAGGTAGGCAAGATAATTTCTCTAACTTCTGTCTGTTCATGACCTTTTTCCTTTGCTAGTGTCCTTCTGTAGGGCCCTAAACCAGTTGCATTTTGTACTATAGCCTCTCTTCGATTTTGTCAGCTCATGTCTCCTGACCTCAGACACGTCTGCATTCCTAGCGGTCTCTGTGTTTCTGTCTTAATTGGGTTCTCCTAGCCTATCATTAATTCTTCAGATTCCTGATAAATGCTAAGGGTGCTTGAACAACACATTGCTGGCCAGCATGGAGAGCAGCTCTACGCCAATACCTGGTCTGTGCGTCCTGGTACTTTCTGGTCAGGTGAGCTTTGTTGCAAGCACTTAAGTGCAGAAAGCCTCCTGACCTCCCATTTAAACTAGTGCCATTTAAAGGCTAATCTGAGCCCTCAAGATTCAATACCATGGCATATAGACAACTGGAGCAGTGGGTTTAAACTGGGTCCTCCGTGCATGTGTAGTTGCTGTGTAGATGAATCATGACAGTGCCTACAGGGCAATTATGCAACCATTAAGTTGCCTAAAGTTTGTTTCTCTTCCTTAGTTTCCTTATCATCTTTCAATTCAATGCAGCTGTCTGAAAATATCTCATATACCAGCAGGTTTATTTGTAAAACACAGTCTGGTCTGTAGATGAGCAATACTTTAGCAATGTGAGCTGGTTTTAGCAATAAATATTTACCTTATTGCAAATCTTTTGGTAATGTCCTAAGTTGTGTGACACCTCACAAGTTTCTGCCAGTAATGGGCATTTGAATCAATATTACGGCTTTACCCTCAATAATATCTATTTAGAGAGCTGAAACTTGGCAATTCTTTAGCCTTCAGCATGGAATATTTAAATAAATGTACTATATAGCTGATCAGAGTTGGAAACTTGCTGTTCTGTGCAAGAGAAGGGGGCTTTACAGATCCATAGTCTGTCATCAAGCTAACCAGACAGCACTGGAGACCCATTTGCTTGTGTACCCAGGTAATCCAGCCCAGCTGGAATTTCCAAATAATACAGAGCCCTGGTTTTATAGCATAAGGGATTTTGCTCTAGCAAGTAAGTAAATTGATTTTTCTGCTATAAAAGGACAAAAGATTTTGAAAACATCCCGTACGTCTGTGTTTCCCAGACTTGTTTTCTGGCAGCTGATCTTGGAGCTCAACCAAACTTTAAAAACTTCTTCCATTTTTGTAGCAGCGTGGGGAGCTTGTCAGATGAGGTTAGTAGCTTTCTGGTTGTATGACTAATGTCCAGGATACGGTTCAGAGAAGGGCGTCAGCAACAATTAGTTTCTAAATGTCATCAGCAAACTATTAATCGGGATTAGGAGAGCTGTATGTCTGATTTATCTTTGTGCAGTTTAAGCCACTTCAGTAATTGCTACATATTTCATAATTTGCATGCTTCATCTCCAAATTTCCTGATTCTATTAACTTCAGCTGCCTTCTCCTGCAAGATTATGGGGCAGAAGAACCAGTGGAGAATACAAAAATGTGCTGCTGCTGAAATGAATGAAAGTCTTAAAAGAGCTGTTTCGTGCTATCTATTACAGTAACACAAATCTAAAATAATCTCATTAACTTGAATAAAGGGACAGAGCAGAATGCCTGTAAATCTCCATTTGCCTAAAGTATCATGAAGTTTTAGATTGCTGGGTGATAATTTTGTAAGACTCAAATTGTGTGCAAAGAAAATGATTTACCATGAGTTTATATCTGCTTGTCAGTGAGGCTTTTATTTTAAAATCACACTTACAAAACACAATATGCTAGACAGAGATGACTAACTTAGGTAAAAGCAATTACATTTTCTTCTTGCATATGGCTCTTAGGGTTCACTGTGTCTAGCAGAATTGGAAATATTAGATACAGAAATTAGACATATCAAAACCAGCCTGCATGCCCAACATCTTTCCAGGATCAGAAAAACCCAAATAAGAATATTTTTGCATGATCTTAGTTTGTTTCTCAGGCTACTGCCTCACAAGACTTTACTTCAGTTTAAGCCTGTTTAAGCTGGGTACTTCTTTATGGATATAAGAACATACTCAGAGTCTCTCCCAGATTGTTTATTCTGAGTCTGGCCATAGCAATTGACTGTTGCAGTAGTAAAAAATAATTTTGCTACTGTTATATGGAGAAATATGTGACAACTTAAAAATAAGTTGTTGAAGAAGTTGCAGTTACTATAATTTTCCTTACTGATGGCAAATTAAATAGAATAATCAGAAAAATATTTGTTGACTCTTTTTCCCTTGTCTCTTTTAGCTTCCGCTCCATAAACAGAGTCTGGAATTCATTATTACTTTGGTGGTTCAATTAGATGTATCACTGAGAATTATCCTGACATTGCTGAGAGCCCTTAGAAAGCTGGGAGAACTATTAATATTGCAGTCTCAGTAATACATAGTTTCAAGGCATGTTTTACTTGATCCCTCTGGACAAGAGAGCTCTGCCTTTGCAGATCCACAGCAGCAGATGCTGCATCAGCTGAGAGAAAGCAACCCTGAGGAGAAGGACTTTGGGGGTGTTGGTTGATGGAACCACAACATGACCCAGCAGTGTGTGCTCACAGCCCAGAAATCCAGCCGTGTGCTGGGCTGCATCAAGAGGAGTGTGACCAGCAGGTCGAGGGAGGGGATTCTCCCCCTCTACTCTAGTGAGACCCCACCTGCAGCACTGCATCCAGCTCTGGGGCCCCCAACACAAGAGGGACATGGACCTGCTTGAAGGAGTCCAGAGGAGGCCACAAAGATGATCCGGAGGCTGGAGCACCTCTGCTGTGGAGACAGGCTGAGAGAGTTGGGCTTGTTCAGCCTGGAGACGAGGAGGGTCCTTAAGGGGAGACCTTGTAACAGTCTTCCAATACCTAAAGGATGCCTACAAGAAATCTGGAGTTACAAGGGCAGGTAGTGACAGGACAAGGGGAAGTGGCATTAATATGACAGAGGGGAGATTTAGATTGGACGTTAGGAAAGAATTCTTCCCCGTGAGGGTGGTGAGACACTGGCGCAGGTTGCCCACAGAAGCTGTGGCTGCCCCATTGCTGGCAGTGTTCAAGGCCAGGCTGGGCCTTTTGAGCAACTCCGTCTGGTGAAAGGCATCCCTGCCCGTGGCAGGGTGGTTGGAACTAGATGATCTTTAAGGTCCCTTCCAACGCAAAGCATTCTATGGTTCTATGACTCTTACCTGTAAAGCAAAGCAGAATGGTGTTAGCATAAGTGGGGCAGCCAAATGAGCTCCTTCCCTCCAGTGTGAGCTGGGCAGTAGGAGTAAGTGAGAGAAAGAGCAAAGATATCTACAGACGACAGTACAGTAGGTGAAAACAAGAGTTGACTAACAGAGTTACAGTTACAGATTTTAATTTGCTAAAAGTAAGAGGGGCAATAAACAGAACAACATATGTGCATATAGTAACCCAGTTGACCGATGTGCTGGTGAAATAAAAGAGGGTGAATAAAAAATTTCCAAGAAATCCCAGTTGTCAATTTTCCTTCTCCAATGAATAAGGAACTGAGACACTTCTTGGGCATGTACGATTATTGTTCCTGTACTCACATCAGGCTAGTGTTTTTAATCTGTGAGTTTTGATTCTGAAACAGCTGTATTGTTTCCAGCTTTTCTATCCAGACTTCTGCCTCTGAATTACTTTCTTCCAGTGCTTCCTCTTTCCAGAGAAGCAACAATCTGCATGTCCTTCTGAAGGACATACTGGGACGCAGCCCATGCCAAAGCTGCTGGGTGGATCAGAAGAATGATAAGTGTACGCACTTATCCCCCGGGTCAGGCCTACCCATGGTCCCACATCCTGTCCTGGCCTC